AGAGACTGAAACAGTGATTCTCAACGTATGGTGCAAAGAAGCATCTCCACAGGAACCTTGCTATAAAGATCTTTCATTGTCCTCCCCCGTTAGCATTTGCATCTCTAGGAGCATATCACCTGCAATGCCCAGGATGGCTGTTGACCCAGTGAGCCCTGACAGAACTCAAGTGCAGTTAATATAGTTCCTGGTGGGAATGATGGGCTGCAGAAACATAACATGATACTAACCAACAGCTCTCAAACATGGGAAAGGAGCTGTCCAGACTGCATATATACTCAGGCAATTAGAAAAAAGAAAAGGGAAAAGCAAAGTTGAGAAGGTATGAGAGATAGAGGGAGAAAAGTCCTTAAAGGCAATGGTAGTATAGAAAATTATGCTGCTTTATTTTTTTTTTAAAGATTTTATTTATTTATTCAGGAGAGAGAGAGAGATAGAGAAGCAGAGGGAGAAGCAGGCTCCCAAGGAGCAGGGAGCCCGATGCGGGACTCGATCCCAGGACCCTGGGATCACGACCTGAGCCGAAGGCAGATGCTTAACCATCTGAGCCACCCAGGCACCCAAATCATGCTGCTTTAATCAGCACATATGAGGAACCTCAGATTTCACCTTGTTGTGTCTAACCACAAAGCACTTATATCCCATCTACTACCCGACTTACAGAGACCAGAAGATTGTCCTTTGGCTAGTCCCCTGCATTAAACAGAAGCTAGGGAAGGCCATAGTTCTATGGGAAGACGATCAAAACAAGAGAAACAGGAAAAATCCATTTCAGCATGCCTCTGTAAGTCCTATGTGTGTGCTGTGTGTCTGACTACAAAACAATCCTGGACTCTGCCACTGCTGGGTGGCTTAATGGGGGTTCATTTATCAGGGCTGACATTACTTCAAGATTCAGAAGTGTTTGAAGGGTTTTTCATCAGTTTAGAGAATCATCTTTCCTATATAACTACAAAACCATCACCTACACCTTAAGGCCAGATCCTGAGTACAGATTGACTCCCAAGGTATAACAATACCTCCTCTGGTGTACCCATCGATGCTTCCATTCAACCTGACCCATTGTTTCCCTCCTCCAGTCCCCAACCTCAGCCTCTTCATCAACCTACAGCCTACAAGAACAACAACTATGGGCCAAACTCTAGGGTGGGTGCTATAGAAGTAATTGAAGAAACTCAATGCATGACTCTTGCCTACCCTCAGGAAGCTTACAGTCTTGTTTGTAGGTGCCAGGACACCTGAGCCACTGATTTTGCAAGGAACAATTAATTACATACATGGCACAGCAACTCAAGAGGTATCAGCATTCACAGGAAGGGGCAAGCCGCAGGGACTGGCACATTCACCGACTTCTTTGGGTTTGCCTGACAAGAGCTGTCTCTTTCCTTCTAGATCACTCATTCATATTTTTCCTTTAGCTTTACTCAAAAAAAAAAAATTCTCTGTCCTTTTGGTTTCATTTCTCATGGCCTTCCCTATTCAAATCCTCTTTTTCCTACAATGCCAGGAAACCACTCCTTCACTCATGTAAGCAACCCTTTCCTTTTGCAGAAGATGATTCTTTAGCCACTTAAAACTACAACAAACTACTCAAGTGGCCTCACTGGGAAACTATTTTTAACCTCTATAATATCCAGGCATGTTGAAAGGTACATGTGAAAGCTTTCTCTTCCCCTCTGTGTCTGTGCCTACTTGTTCTATTGACTCAGTGAACAGAGACAACATCTAATTATATTTTCCACCAAAACATTAACATGTTATTATTAATGCTTAGCAAGTAAGAAAAATAATAATGTCTTTATATTTCCCATTTTTTTCCACTTCACTTCAGGATTTCATATGCAAAAAGATTTTAAAAATACAGCATGGAAGAGTTTGGTCCATTAGACATATATTAGGTTTTCTGTCCTCCTATACAAAGGTTCAGGCTTTTAAATGGAGCATGCAGCTATTAAGCATTAACCCATCTGTTCTGTTTCTCTCTTTTATTTCAAAGGACTGGCACACAAGTCTCATAACAAAAGTCATATGAAGGCTGTTCTTTTCCCAACAATACACCTTGATCACAACCAAAGGACTGTCACTCAGAAACGCTCAATTATGCTGTTAAGTTCCCCAATGCTTAAGAGCCACACATTTACATTCTTTACATTCTGACCCCACACTACCCCTAACATACTACTGTATACCTCCTTTCCCTAACACAAATCCTCCCTCCTGCCAACCCAGCTTCTGCAGTGCTCCTTGGAGATACCAAGACTTCTCATTCCAGCAACTCTCAACTTAGCCCATCCATCAAGGTCTAGTTAGTTCATGACATTCCCAACAAATCTTTCTTGACCACAGTAGCTCTTTGTGGTGACTCACTCTTTAGAATTTGGAATATGAAAAGATCTAAAAATTTAACAACATGATGTGGCAGATATCAGAAAGTCAAATGGGCAGAAGAATTAACACTGTTTATATCACATCGGATCAGCAGCTCTTTAGGAGCAGGCAGCAGAACTCTACAGATCACGTTCTCAGTATCACACATGTATTTATACCACACTGAACTACCCCTGGCTTTTCTCCCAATGAAGTTTATGAGCTTCTTGGGGCCAGAGACTATTTCTCACACAGCTTCAGAATCCCCTGCAATAACTAACACTAATAGTGCTGGACATGCAGAAAGTACACAGCGGATTCTTTTTGATTCACCCCATAGGGAAGCTGGGAATATTTTCTAGTTGAGTAAAATCAAGTTAAAGCAATACATCAGTGATAGAACATTGAGACTCAGTGTGACAACATTTTCAATGAATTGAGGGGATTTCAGACCCATAGAGACCCACTCTTCATGCAATTTCAGCAGAGAGAGTGTATGTGGAAGGAGGGGGCAAATGAATTGGATCAGATTATCAGTTCTCAAATGGCCTTCAAAATCATCTGATGGAAGCCATCCTCTTAGAGATGGAGAATGATTGGGGAGGCCTCCTGACTGAAGCTAGAAGACTAGAGTTCTCATGAGGCAAGAGCCGCGTTCACATCCCTTAGCTGCTTTGCAGAAAGAGTGCACGTGCTGTTTTTCTCTGAAAGAAGTGCCCTACCTCTGCCTGGAAGCAGGGAGTGAAACATCATTCAGAGTCCCCATCCATAGTTAACGGCAATGCATTTAATGTTGTTTTGATGATGTGTAACACTGTTAATTGCAGATCTATTGTAATTGCTTTCTTTTCTCTATCTCATTTATGCTACATGCAACAAATAGTAACACATCGTCTAAACGATTAAACTGTGCCCAGCAAGGATACAGAGTGGTAACAGGAAAACTTGAGTTCAGATAACTAAACCCTTAATTGGGCAGCTAAGATCTTTTTCTTTAAAAATTTTTTTTTCAATTTTCTGACATTACTTTTCTAGCTCAGGTAACAATAAAGCTGTGCTGGACTGTGCCACCAGGATATTTTTGTAAACAGATGCTAAGTGTGCATCTGGGATGTGCAGGCACTGTTCCAGGAATTATGGAGGTTCAAATGAATAAAACTCTGTTTCTGTCCTCGAGAATCTAGTAAGATGATTAAAAATGAACATAAAAAGTCTAATAAAGGGAGAACATAAAGGGCTAAGAGGAAGCTATGGAATGTAGGAGCAGGAACAAATTCCCTGATTTTTCTTAACTGGGGAAATCATATTAATAAAACCGTGTATGTTTACAAAGCAATATACACAGAAATTAGAAAATTCTTAACTTTAAAAGATGGATATCTTCCATTTGAGGAAATTCTTTCAAGTTCACATTTACTTCTAACACTTGATTGCCTACTTACAAAAGAATATGCTAACTTTTTTCACAGGTTCTGATTCTTAAAAGTTGTCTCAGAAGAGCAAGTTTTATTTGCCCTTATCAGAATATTGCTGCAATGGAGTTAATAATGAAAAGCAATATAATCACGTATGTTATAGCACACTTTACAGCTTCCAAAGCATTTTCACAAATACTATTTCAATAGGTCTCATTTGGTCCCCCACAGAATCCTGAGAAGTACACAGGGTCAGTTTATTGTGTTTCTGGGCAAGTATGTATGCATGTTAATATTGTTTTCTTCATTGTGCACAGAGGAACTGGAGGCTCAGAGGAGTCCGGTGAGTGACAGTGACAACTGGCATTTGTCAGACTCGTCAGACAAAAAGAAAATTGCTGGCTAAGCCCTCCAATCTAAAATTAATCACAGGTTATTAGACTTGAAAACTCATGTTCCCACTGGTATATGTTCTCTCAAAAAGCAAATATGCCCTGGGCAGCACTCAGCATCCAGGGGCTCCCCAGCTTCCCTCTGTCTCCAAGGGAAGCACCTTGTTCCTTCCCCAGACATTGGCCAACCTCTCTTCTCTTATTCTCTGTTCTCAACGGCAGAGTGAAAGGCAGCTATTTATTTGTTTGTCCATCCTAAAGAGCCAAAGCCACTGAATTAGGTCCTTTAAGAGTACTTGGGTTTTAAAACTTTGTTATAACTTTACAGGGGAAGTCTTTATGCTGATAAACACATTTAGGGCAGTGGCCATCGTGTGAAAGGAATTTGGTGCTGATTCACTGATGCTGCCATCTCTCTGGACAGTGATTAACAAAAGGCCTCTGAGCTTATCTTCAGGGTCATAGAAGGAAAGGGAGGCCGGCACTAATGCCTCGTGCCCTGTATCCCTGAAAGGAACTTCAGGGATAAGCAATGACAGATTTAATAAGTAGAGAAAGCCCACTGAGTCTCTAGGGGCTAAGATATCCCCCCCACAAAAAAAAGAATCTGGGAAGCAGCCAGAGCCTGAGACTGACGTCCTAAGCGTCAATCCCAACCCTACACATGCACATTTGCCCCAGCCTGATTTCAGACTGTAAAGGCTCAAGCTCTGCGGCTCTTAAAACCTGCCCCAAGACCAAAAGGAGCTGTCCTCAAGTCCTACAACCACAGTCCGCTTTCCTCTTTCTTCCACTGAAAACACCGAATGGGAAAAGCTGTCCTTACCTCGTAATGAGCCACACGTTGAGATTCAGATATCAGCTGTGCACTGCACACCTTGCAATAACTGTCTGTAAATAAATCCTGATCGATATCGGAGGACTTCATCAGGCTAAAGGAGAATCAACAGAAAAGAAAAATGAGTCCACTGCTTTGATGTTTATGCAGGACATTAATTGTGTGAAAAAGCCAGGAGCACAGTAACAGACCCCAGGATGGTAGCAGTGGGGGAGACCTCCCTACACCTTAGGTGATACCATGTCAGTTAACCACAGTAAGTGTAGAGTTTATAATTTTCTCATAAGTGCCCAATAGAATTGCTGCTACCCTACAAAACAGAAATGTACCTTTAGTTTTCTCTTTCTGACAAATCAAACTTATATCTAATACACTGCCAAGGATTTATGTGAGAGGATATTTTCATATGTGATTTATATTAACAAAATATTGTTAAGTGTTCAATATATGCAACATAAAGAGACTGAATAAATTTGAATCATCCACATGCTAGAATATGAAGTGCCTCCCAATTCCAAATGCAAATCAAATTCTTCTTTAAGAGAACATTTAATGAAATAGGAAAAAGTTTACCATTAACAAAAGGGTTTACAAATCAGTACATACAGTATTATACTAAATTCGTTTTAAAATATGTATAGGTGCAAAGAAAAGCATCCTAGGAAGTTTTTTTTTTTAAGATTTTATTTATTTATTTGACAGAGAGAGAGCACAAGTAGGCAGAGCGGCAGGCAGAGGGAGAGGGAGAGGGAAGCAGGCTCCCTGCCAAGCAGAGAGCCCAACGTGGGGCTCGATCCCAGGACCCTGGGATCATGACCCGAGCGGAAAGCAGCCACTCAACCAACTGAGCCACCCAGGTGCCCCAATGTCAGGAAGTTTTAGCAAGGTGTTAATAGCAGTTATCTTTCAGAGATTATAGGTAATCGCTTATGTAATTTTGTTTATTTTTTAATTTTCTACAATGAACACATATTACTTTTGCAATACATGGAAACAAGTTAGCTTTGTCAAGAACCTTATAAGCAATATAAAATTTAGTTTTGAGTTCAATAGCTATCCTTACAGAATTAAAAAATAAAATCAGGTTCAACTATAACTTCTTGCAAACTTATACCTTTTAAAGTGAGGAGCCCTCATCATTCACACTCACTCTTCCACATTTAGGGTTACTGATATTCATAAAAGCCACCTCCACCATCCTGCACCACAGTTGAGCCCACAAAAGTAAATAAACATATCATCAAATTCCAAACCCTGAATTGAAATGCAGCCAAGAGTCTCAAGCTTGTGAAAGTAATCTGTCACAAAGGTATCTCATAGCATCTGAAGCATAATATTACCACCATAGAAATGCACACCAGCACATCCGAATACTTTCCTCCAACCCACAAACTCGACTCCATTTTCCCTCCTACCAGCCGGGTAAAAGTAAGGACTATGCCACAAAGCATACATATGGAGAGGCAAGAGAATTTCAGACAACAGGGATGTGGTGGGAACCTTGGAGTTCATCCTGCTCCCACACCCTAATTTTATCTGTGAGACTGTTTGAAGTCACATCACTGATTATTGGCATGGCCATATATCCTTCCTAGTTTGCATGATTCCAATTTCCACACTCCAAATCCATCTCAGGTCTCATGCTACTTGCCAGCCATGTGATATTAGATGAGTCACTAAACCTTCTAGATCTTAGTTTCCTCCTACACAAATTGAGATAAAATATTAGCCATGCCTTTTTAGAGAACTGTGGTGAAAATCAAAAGGAGAAATATAGGAGAAGGTACTACACAAACTGTAAACTCTCTTCATTTGAAAGGGATCATCATTACATTCTTACTAATATCCTAATGTTGGCCAAGTCTTGACCAATGCAACAAAATAGAGGACAGTGGTACATTTTAGGTGATTTTTTAAAACCATTTAAATAGCTGGGCTACAAAATAAGTATCTATAAAAAGCTGCCTGCCTCAACAATTACAAACTCAATTTCTATCTTTGTCCTTGGTTGTAATGGCCCATTCAGAGCATTTGATTTTCACAATGCAAAAGGATTCAGTTTTTGCTCCTAAGAGACAATGGTAGCTCTGGTTTTTCAATGCCCTGAGTACCAACAGTAATGCCAGATAGTAAGGACTACTGACTCTCATAGCTAAAGTGGATCTGTTATTTCTGGAAGGCTCATTCCTGGCAGAAAGCTCAGCCAGCCTGGAGTCTAGCACCTGCAGTGCCTGGAGACTCACTACCTAACATGGAAACCTGTTCCAAAGAGTCTGGCAACTCTAGTGGTTAGGTATTTTTCAGGTTGAATCAAAATCTGTCCCACTGTAGCTTCACTCATTCAGTCTGTCTTTCGGTGCAACACAGAAAAATTCTACTCTCCTTTTTCATGAGATATCCTCTCTCAAGTACTTGAGGATAGCTCTCTTCTGTCTATTCTCAACCCCTGTCCTGACTTATCATCTTGGTCTCTATTTCTTTATGGCCCATCTTCAAAGGCAGTGCCAAGAATGGAATGAACATTTCAGACATGGTCTAATCAAGCAGAGGATCACAAATCCAAATGGCCGTCCAAAATATCCATTGTCATGTGTAATGGTCTCTATTCACATCCCAGAATGCAAACGGAGAAGAGGTGTTTTGATGATGGGAAAATGTAGTACAACATTTTGAAATGTCAAATGGGAAAAGAAAACTTACTAAGGTGTATTTTTTAAGCCAAGCTTCTATAAGTAGTTGTGTTTAAATATCATCATGTTCCCTGCTATTTCTAATAAAGAAGTGCACAAAAATAGATTCATGGGTGACCTGGTTAATAGGAATCTCCAAACTCACTGCACACTCCTTCCTCATTATACAACCGACTGCAGAAATCAAACACTGTGAAAGGATATTCAAGGTACGTGTCGGACCGAGTGGGGCCCGTAGGAGTCTGAGTCTCGGTAAAACAGCTGTGCAGCAGAAATAGCTTTAAAGGCAGAATATAAAAATGTGTATACTAAAAAAAAATTCAAAGGAAGAAGAGAATATCATGGCTTTTTCCACTGTTTTATATAAGAATATCGATTGGAATAGGCCCATATGCAGTAAAATGGCAATAAAGACCCTCTGAAATCTACAAGGCCCAAATGGAAAACCTAAAAAAGTTAAATTCCAGTGGGAAGCAATTAGTAGGCAAGCGTCAGGCTGGTCTATGCATAAGGCCTTTTCTCCAAGAAAAGAGAACTCTATGTGTAGGTCACTTTAGACAACTAGAGGGCCTGATTTATGACTCAAAGAGTGGAATTCCCCAGGAAGAGGGCTGCCATTTGTTTCCTTCTCTCACTTGCCTAGAATAGAATTCTCAGCTTCTCTGGTCTTCAAAAGTACAGGTGAGCTGGTGAAAACAAGGAAAACCAGATTACCTTTCTTTAGCCTTGTCCATGGTCCTGAATCACAACTAGCACAGAAACAGAGCAGGGCCCTTCATCAATTAGTAACTGGTCAGTCCCCACTGTCTCATGAGAGCCGATGTGTGGTGACCCCCAACCTGGGACATGTGGACTGTACTACATTCTGAGGCCCTGGAGCATTCTGAAGAGGGGGAGAAGAGCAGGGGAAGGAAGGAGTCTGAGTTCCTGAATTTGAAACTGATCAGAATGAAAACTTCCTCAATGTTCCCCACAATGGCACATTCCAAAGCAAACACTGAAGATCTGAATAACCTATCACTCTTCAGTGTTCACAGAGGACAGTGCTACCTGTATTTTACTAAAGAAGCCCAGAGGGAAGTTGGAGGCAGTATTAGAATAGGAGTCTGATCAGATTCACATTTGCTGTCCCAGGTCTCTATACAGCAGTAAATCTATTTTCATCTGATAGCACTGACAGTGTAAGACTCAGAGGTGTAGCTAGGTATAATAAGTAAAAGGAATATGGGGGGGAGCTTTTGTTTATTCAATAATGATTACTGAGCATCTACTATGTGTGAGGCACAGGGACAACAGAGGGCACAACTCCCGTCTTCCAAATCCTTATGAGCTATTGAGTGAGAAGAGAAACATGCACACAAATATCTAAGGCACAGGCAGCAAGTGTAATTTGGCTAATAAAAATACAGGATTTCAGAAGACAAGGGGATTATAAGGAACCTTCAGGTAGGTTCTATAAGAGTTAAAAATTTAAGAATGAATAGGATTAGAGCGGAGGGAAATGGGTTCAAACCCAATACATTCCAATTCTTTTTGCTGGCATGGAGGAAAATATTACTACCAGTAGGCATGAGAAGATATATACAAGGGGCTTCAGTGGGGCTTGCTTGGGAATATGCAACATAAGGGAAGGAGGCAGGGAGAGAAGGGCATACAAAGCTCAGGCCCCAGATGGAAGGAGGGGAGACCGAGGGAAAACAGCAGGTCCCAAAATGTTTCTCAAGTGCAAGGAATGGCCTTTTTTAGGATCTTTAAATGCAGATGTGAAGCCTTCCCCTCTGCCGCTTTCTGCTTCTCAAGAACAGATTTCAGGAACACAGCCTGAAAAGCCAGAGAAACCTGAGGCTTCATGGCCAAGAGTAACATTCTTCATTCCATTCCATTTCTGATAATGCCAAAATAGCTTTTGACTCAAAACCCATGCAGGGCTCTTCAGAGGAAAAAGACATTAGTTCAAATCCATGTTTGGTTGCTTGCCAACAAGATTTTTGAGTGTAGAGTTACATATCCTCCCTGAACCACCATTTCCTCATTTGCAAAACAGGGAAAACATTCTCACAGGCTCATTGTGAGGATTAGAGATGATGTAGATAAAAAGCATCTAACAAAGACTGTGGCATATGGTAGACACTGAAAAATGGATATTACCACCATAATGATGAATATTATTAATTTGTATTATCATTATTCTTATTTTCAGGAGGGATGCTGTAAATATTTAAGTAGAGAAATAAATAGAACCACATTAAAGACTAAGGGGTCAGAATACAGAGTTGATGTGTTGAAGTCATAACTCTGAGTGTCATCACAGGGTTTCTCTTTTGTATTAATCTTATCACCCACAAAAATGGCTCACTTCCACTGAGTTCCACTGCCAGCTGATACTCAGATATTATGCCCATGA